GAAAATAATTTTATGGTTGGGGGTCACCACAACATGAGGAACTGTATTAAGGGGTCGCGGCATTAGGAAGGTTGAGAACCACTGCTCTAGATGCTCTCACAACCCTCTTGGGCCTCACGTGACCTCCAACCAGCAATTCTTCCAACATGCCTGGTATCTAAGTTACCAGCTCACACCAGGTCAGATGGAAATTTAGAATCAGCAAGTCATAAAGAAATGGAAAAGACTGCTTTTCATGACATTTCAGTGACAGGACAGAGAGAAGGCTAAAAATGAACAGAACACGGCCCCAGGAGTCGGGTTATCTGGCACGGGTGAAGCTTCCCGCTCCTTGAACCTAACTTACCATGTGACTAGGAAACACCAGACTTGATCTCCAGGGAAGCAAAGAGCAGTGACACACTTCAGGTCAACCTAGCTTTCAGAAGCACTTCTCAATAAATATTTTATTTAACAAAATATAATAATTTCAGTAAAAATATTTTTTCTTTTACTTCGAGTGAAATGAAAAATATTCAATTGGGGAATTGGGGGGTGAATTTCTTTGACTATGGTTACACAAGCTGAGTTAGAGTTCCAGACATGATTGATAGCAGTATTTGGGAAGTTCTCGAGATGTGCTTCTATATGCTCAGGTATTTAATTTCTGAATTGGTAACACAACATCTATTATTTTGTTCCTTTAATGACTCAACAAAAATACTGCTTCTTTCTTTTTAAACTTGCCAATAGTAAGAAATTCTACTTAATTGTTTTTTTTTATTGATATAGAGCCAACATAATGAGATATTTCCTAGGAGGCATTTATTCTTTTAAACAAGTAAAAGGAAATCAAACATAATTTCAAACAGTGCTGTTTTATTTAANAAAAAAAAAAAGACTTTACAGAATTAATGCTTTCTCCCTATCAAATGATTTGTCAAAAATGTTAGCTATTTATCATTTTCCACATTTCCAATATAATCTTTGTACACTGTGAAATGATCATAAGGAATTTACAACGGAACCCTCATTTGTAAACTACAAGTAAGCAACATCACCCGCCTCACCTTTTCCACCGGGAGAAGTGTCTGCAGCAGCCGAACAGCCAACAGTGAGATGCTGACAAAGGCCGTTCTGTGGTGAACCAGCACTGCCTCCGCATGTTCCAAGCCCACGCTGCTTTTATGGTGGCACATGGCTTCTCCAAGAGACCCTAACACCGTGAGCAGTTTCTCTTTCTGCAAACATTTAAACACCAAAAAGGAAAACAACCAATTTTAGAGGCCAGTAGGCAAAGGTCCTGGAGAACAGATTTTGAATAGTATCGTTAAATAACAAAAACAAGCCAAACACATATTTATAGCCAATACCTGCTGATAATTTTAAAAATACAAGAGTGATAAGCACACCTAAATTTTTTTTAAAAACTAACAATTCTCAAGTGTATAATGTGACTTCTAACTAATAATGAATAAAAATAAAATACAAAAGTTTAATGAGCTAAAAATTTCACCTAGTTTCCTATGTTTAATTGTTCCAGCTGTAAACATTTACATGTAAATCTCTCAATCGAGTATTTATCAGGCTTACTGAATATAGTGAGTGGCAGGTATAATGGGAAAAACAAAAACCAGTACAAAAGACATGACTCCTGCCCTCAAAATGCTCCCCAAATTACTAAACAAATGAAACAGGGAAAGTCAAATAAGTAAAAAGCAATGAAACATCAAATTGTATGAGTTCTCTCTCCTCAAGTATTAAGGTTTTGTCATAAATTTCTAGATAACTTACTTCTTAAATAGAAGTTACATCTTTTAAATTGAAAGGCACA